AGCAGCAGCAGCAGCAGCATCAGCCGCAGCAGCGACAGCATTAGCGACAACGTCAGCAGCGGCAGCAGCGGCAACGGCGGCAGCGGCGGCGACGACCTCCGCCCGCCTCTGCACAGCTTCTCGGCGTCTGCTCTCTAGCAGCTGGTAGCGGGCGCGGCGCTCGCCGGCGATGGCGCGACGCCTCTCCTCGGCCGCCGCGAGCCTGCAGGAAGAAGACTGCCATCAGCTGCGCCGTCTGCTACACTCTCACCGCTATTGCCCTCGTGCAACGGCCTGTCGCATTAAATTTTATAGGGCAATGCAAGGTGATCTCCTCAGCAAACACCCATTCAAAGGAACGGTTATCACCTTTCAAAAAGAGGGTATATACCCTACTTGGGATTCATAGAAGGGCACGCAGGCACCTTTTTGGGAAGGTGTAAGGAGGGCAACCGCACCACTATACGCCTCGTTTATGTTGTGAAACGCGGTTCCCGTCACTTCTAGATCTAGTGTGCCGCCACTCACCGATCGCGCGCCGCTCTCTCTCTGCCTCTCCTCCACGGCTGCGACGCCGGCAATCTTCCTCACCGCCTGTGCTGCCCTCTGGGGAGCTGTGGCCACCATCTGGACGCGCTTCTGCAGGATGCGACTGCGAGCGTCGGCGGCTGACGTCGCCCGTTAACGAATCGTTGTGTTCGCACTCACACACGTGTGTAACTTTCGGTCGTCACCCGCTCTAACCGTAGCGACGGATCGCGCGTAGTTGTGCTAGATTTTCACTGGCCCTTACCGAGCGTGCAGCAGCGCCGCCGCATCCATCCTCCTCTTCTCCTCGGTCGCCACTATGGCGCGCAGCCTCACCGCATGTGCTGCCCTCTGTGGGGTGTTCGCCGCTTGCTCCCTGCGCTCTTCTAGGATAGCGCTGCGTGACCGAGTGGCGAGTGGGCCCTGTAACGAGCAACCGCAGTCATTCACTAATCACGCGCGGGACGTGTTTATAGTGTAGACGAACGACGCGTTATAGAAACCGACTGGTGGACGCGAGTACTGGGCGCAATATTGAAATTATTCTCACTACTGTAGTGCCTATTTGGCTGTTTTACACTCAGTAATCAGTATCACTTGCGTAAAATTATCGTACGAGTGAGTACGAAGCTATATGATGTAACGGGACCATTACGAATCATAACGCAGAGTAAATCGCACCTTTGTTCGTGGATCAAAGAACAGTTGCTGGTAGCGCGGGCATTCATGAGCCGTGCAGGCGCGCTTCCAACGACTAGGTTCTCCCACTGACGCAAGGCCGGAAGATAGACATCCCTACGGAATCAAGAATTCAAAAGAATAGTTATTAAAGTGATGTGTGCATGTAGTGCGCTTCTAATTAATTCCACTGGACATTTTTCGGTATGTTTTGTAGCCACGAAGTTACCGCGTAAGCGTTTATATGTATAATTATTTATGTTCGTTATGAAAAAATTACTAACCTAAGGTAAGTAATGTCGCGTCAATTTATATGATTATTAAATAACCATGAAACACAAGCGTTTTATTGACATTTCTTGCGCTAGACTATCGGGTATAACCTGTTCCATTCGTAAACGAGAGCAATAAAATGTCAGCGTATTAACGAATACGGGATCATTTCAAAAAAATTGAATTGCTTCATACACTATTATTTTGAGTTTTGTTTCTAATTTCTAATTTTGTGTCGGACTATTGTTGTCCCTTAGATAATATAATTTAACGATTTGGAGATTTTTTCGCACCGTATTATTTTATCCAATTGACATTTATATTATAATTTTGTGATTTTTAGTGATTCTGAGTGGTTATCGATTTCACATTCTCTTCGTAATCCATATATTGCACCTTTCCTACGTTCATGAATTTCCAAATTACGACGGTTTTCTGGTTATATCTTTACTCAATAATATAGAGCCACATACAGCCGTGCCTGAGTAAATGATGGTCATATTTTATGGTTTATTTACCACACAATGGATTTTTTCAGTGAATGGGAAACGCGAACTACGTAAAATGTGATGCATGTTCGTGTGAAATTCTGTTTGTTCAACGTTTTAATTTAAAGAGAGAGCGAATACTTCATACTTCATTATATGCGGTGCCTACGTGACTATATAGACAGAATATATGGGTCTATAAATCTATGCTAAGATAACCCCTCTTCATTTTAAATTCATAACGCTTGCAAAATATTATTATTCTCGCGAGATATTGCGCATGCGCGAGCACCGTTTCAGACGTGCAGTACGGCCAAAGGAAAAGTACGTAAATATAGTTAGCTGCGGGAGAGAGGGGTGGGAAACTGAGGAAAGGTGGCAGGGAAGACAGTCGAGGGGCGGTGGAAGGAGAAAGAAGCTGAGCGTGCGTCAATAGAGACAAAGGGAAGGGCGAGCGGATATAAAGTAGGAGTTTTGCACCCTACAGGCTAGGGCGCTCTCGTAACTATAAACACAGGTCTACTGATAAGTATTTATTACAGAAACCTATGTTGAGATATCCCCTGTCCATACTAAACGCATTTTCATCATAAATTACAACTCCTCTGGCTAGATATTGCGCATGCGATAAAACAGTAACGTACGTAGTCAGGTTATATACTGACTGGTATATGCAGTGGGGACCTTTCATGCAAGGTCTGCTTCCTATTTCTTAAACTAGGTCTACTTAGAAAAATTTATTATATAAATCTATGCTAGGATGACTCCAGGCCTCTTCATTTTAAATTCATAATGTTTGCAAAATATTCTTCTTCTCGGGAGATATTGCGCATGCGCGAGCACCGTTTCAGACGTGCAGTACGGC